ACACACACACACACACACACACACACACACACACACACACACACACAGCAGTGCAATGTGTACTATCAGGACAGATCCCCACAGAACACAAGGATAACTAGGCCAAACTTGCACAAGGAGTTATGCTGACAGCTCACACTAGTTATGGCATCCTAAAGGCACTTGTGGGAAGTCTAAGGAAAGGGGAGAGGTCTTAGTGAGCAGATGGAGTCAAGTACAAGGCGGCACTTCAGTGACCTAGTTTGTCCTCAGAGGATGGTGATGCCAGAGGACACAGGAGTACAATGGCTGGTTTTTTGTTTTGTTTTGTTTTTCACTATGCAGTTCCTGTCATTATTCAACCTTTTTGAGTTTCTATAGTTGCATGCCACAGTGACTGAGGGTGCAGTTAGTTCAGGGTAGTGTTGGCACCCTTAAAGGCCTGATTACTGAAAGCCTGCTCATCACTTGCCTTTTCATTGCTACCAGAACAACAGAAACTAGAATCAGTAAATCTAACACTTGAACAAAGGCTCTTCAGAGGGTTCAACAGTGGCAATTACCAAACAGTACACACCATGGCTCTTGGCAGGAACCAGGGAACAAAAAGTGAAGAATCATTTCACGAAGTGAAAAAATTTGGGGAGTGCTTCAAATAGAAAATATGTAAATGTGAAGAACGAGAGGGCCCTCAGAACAAACAACTGTTCTCTTGAGAAATCAAAACGAAATAAAGTTTAGGAACATCACTCAGCTCTTTTCCGGAACATGATTCAAAGAGAAATCATCAACCAACCACACAGGGAGATAACAAATCGCAGGACATTCTTGTCTTGAGATTGAGACATTTTGTATTTTTTCAGAAAAATATCTTACTGCCTGGCATTTCTATCTTGTACCCTGGATGACTAGTTATCATATACAGGGATATAAAGGGGCCACTGATTTCATTCTACAAATCACAGAACCAAGTTTTAATTCTTTTTTACGTAGAAGTGCAATTCATAGCCTGGCCATACAACTTGAATAACAAAATGCCTTACTTATCATGGGATATGAGAAGTGAAAGTTAAATATGATTGAATACAGTTTGTAAGGTGGTGAACTAAATTTTAGCATGGTAGCTTTTTGAGCAATAAGAAAGATCAGCAAATATCTAGTGATGCCTTTGGCACTGCACTTGACCTCCTTGTGGGGGGCCCTGGATTCAGTCCCTCCTGTTAGAAAAAAGATCTGAGAGAGACAGAAAGGAGCAAAGTTGGAATTCTGCAGGTCAGAGGCAACAGGTCAAAAAGTCAGGACTGCACGAGGCGTTCCACTGCTGGTTGATAAAGTGGATGTAAATGAAGTACAGGGACATGATGGCATTTACCCAAGAAGTAAGAGGGCACTCAAGGGTGAATTTGTGCAACTTTGGCCGACTTGTAAAATGTTGCTGCAGACAGCATACTTGGAAGTTGTTAGTGTGCTCGGGCATTTCTGATGTGATTCCCATCTGTCAGGCATATTGAGAAATCCCGGAATGTAAGGCAGAGATCAGCAAACCTGGATTCTGAGTGCAAAAGGTAGAAAAAAAATAGCAAAGTAGGGTCAATTCTGCCACCCATCTCTAGAGGGCTTGCTGACTGATGAGAAAGCTGCCTGTCTTTGGCAAGAGGAAACCATGCCATGGTGCCCCACCCCCCTTAAGGCAGGTTAGCATAAGAAACAGTTTAGCCACCTGGGAGTCTAATCCGTTTGGGCTATGCATGCGCTGATCTTCTAGTAATGCGCTTGGCAGCCTGAGACTTGTGCTATGCATACAGAACCCTCTGCACCGTGCACACCACAATCCAGGACTCCTCCAGGCATCAACCTGCAGGTGCACCCAACTCTAAGCAGTGCAGTATGTCTCTTTTTTCCCTTAACAACCATCAAGCTTACACAGTTTCTATTCAAAGGCACTGTCAACATATCCAGGTAAGACAGTAGGAGGACTGATATGCCTGACTTGGTTTTGTATGAATACACAACAAAGCACTTGTAGGGGAAATCCTCTGTTTACCATCTTATGCCTGTGTATAAATGGGCGAGCATCTGATTAAAATCAGATATATTACAGGAAGGGGTCTGCTCTGTCAGCAAGGGCTTATGCAACACAAGCCTGTCAGTCCCAGTAGGAGAACCCCCCAAATTGTGTGATTAAATTTCTCCTTTTCTTGAATTCCATAAATGATATCCCTGATCATAACTTCAGGGACCACTGACTATTTTAATTGTGTATTCCCTTTGATTGTGCATGGTTTCACTTTGTATAACATTCCCCTGCTGCTTTGCATTCCCCATGTACCTTTATTTTACTCCGGAATGAGGCACGAAGAATATCCCTGGTCCAGACCCCAGTGACCAGTCACATCTCTGAGTTCTTCAAGGCATTAGATGAAAACCATGGAGACAACGGTGGGCACAGTTTCACCTTTCTTTTTAAAGTGTTTGGAACTATTTGTAACTAGTGGTTAGAAAATACAGCTGTACTACCTGTATTTACAAAACATGCCTGTATCAGCAGCATGGGCTTGGGGGAGCTCTCTGTCATGGTGACAGTGACAGAGACACAGCCAGTGCTCATAGGAACACTTTTCTTTATGCGCCCTGCAGGGATCACAAGAAACGGTCACATTTCCACAAACGTTTGGCATGGCAATTCAGGGTACCGGATTTAAATTTATGCATTCCCTGAAGTTCTAGGTGTCAGGAAAGTCGTCCAGCCAAGATGTCCGAAGTTGGAGATTTAAGCCTGATGACTCCAGGTCAGTCTGTAGAACCCACCTGAAGGTGGAAGGAGAGGACTGATTCCACAGGGCTGTACTGACCTCCATGAGCCCTGCAGCAGATGTTGAACCTCTGCAGCTCATGACTCGCACCTACACAACTAACCGAATTGAAAGACAAGTTTGAAAAAGGATCTTTAAATGGGAAGGAATGAGTTGATCTCAATGCGTGCTATAACTATTTCCAGTCAGTCTCTTAGCTTATAGGTCGCTGTAATTTGAAACAGTAAAGAGAGCCGAGGTCACCATCTGAGACCATGATAGAGGCGAATCTGGGGGACATCCGCAGAGCACGGGTCTTTGCACACAGTGTGGGACAGGGGCTAACCAGTCCAGGCGCCGCACATGTGCCTAGCACGTTTGTGGTGACTATTCATGGTGGTCACGATCGTTGTGGAGCCTCCAGTGAACAATATTGAATTATCCACTAAAAAAAGCGAAGAGGACAGGGGCTGAGAAGCCTTCTCAGTAACTAAGTCATGGGGACCCGAACTTCAATCCGCTGGACCCGCATGCATTCCAGGAAATAGCGGTGGAGAGGCAGAGGCGGGTAGGTAGCCGGTGTTCTCGGCCAGCTAGTTTCATTGAAGCGCTGAGCTGCAGGGTCAGGGAGAGACCCGACATCAAGAGGTAAGCTGGGGAGGGGCCAAGAAGACACCTCCTGCCTTAACCTCCGGAGAGGGTGAAGTTTACAGGTACCCCATGCCCGCTGCTCTACATCAGTTCCAAGAACCAAAAACATAAGGAGATTCAAGACAGGTGTACAAATGATTTTTTTCCATCTTTCATTTTCATATAAAATGAAGTTTATATTGTTTTGAATCAGGATGAGATTTAGGAACAGTTTGGTCTAGATCAAAAGTTACGGAGATGAACACATCGTAAGAAAAGCGTGTTTGGTGGAGATCAGAGGACTCACAAACTGTAGAGATTTGTGTGTGTGTGTGTGTGGGGGGCAATGCCAGCCCCAGCATCAAGGGTGGAAGAGTGGGCGTCCCTGTGACTTCAACTGTAGACATTTTAAGAGCGCCGAGGTGGGGAATCTGCAAGCTCTCACGCACTGGAGGGCGGTTCTCTGAGGGCTGGTCTGTAAGAGGCAGCATAGACCTCACTGCACCAACAAAGCATCTGAATGATCGTATCCGCACGCCAGGAGACTGTGTCACCCCACGGCGTAGCGTAGACATTCCACTGAGCGTTTTTGTAAGCACACAAACCTGCAAAGCATTTATCTGTTGCATTTACCTCATGACTGACTCAGAGAAGACTGAATAACTAGAGGAATGCTAAATCCAGGTCTTTCTTCCAGAAACAGCTTACGATGATCTGGACTTTTCAAAATTTTAGTCTAAGCTAAAATATATTTCCAAGAAGTAATATTGAGACCCTTGCCTGTATGCTCTCATTCACTGAGAATTTTGGGCTAAGTATTTGAGGTCTCAGGGTAGCTCTCCATTATAAGGAAGGGACGAAGGGACATGCCTTTAAAGTAAGAAGCCCCTCCTTGGAAAAAGTTAAAAGTCAGAACAGTTACCAAATCTAACACAACAAAACTCTGTACTCCTTAAAGGAAAACAACACAATCATATGAAAGAGAATGAAACTAACACACAGGAAAATATACAGAAAAGTAGACCTTTCTGTACATATACAGAAAGTATACAGAAAAGTGAAGGAAAATCAAACTCAAGATGACCGTACATCAAAATTACTACGGAAGGACTTTGAAGCGGCTCAGCTGCACTAAGGAAAGTATAGTCCTAACAAATGAGAAACAACGTGGTAAATGAACAGAACCCCTGTGGAGAATAGGAAATATCAAATAACCTAATGCATGCTAGCGAATTTCTAGGAGGTAAAGAAAGAATGCTCCTAAATGTTTTTTGTTTGTTTGTTTTTGTTTTTGTTTTTGTTTTTTTTTAAGATACAAGAAGGCACTGAACTCTAAGGAGGATAAGCCAAACATCCTACAAGCTGATCGTTGTCTTACTCAAGGAGAGAAAACTGTAGAGGGAAATTTTGAGAGCAGTCAAACTCAGGAATTTAATACTTGAATGTACAAGCAAGCAACGGACAGGCGTTTAGTGTACATGGGCGTATTGACAGCAAACAAGAGGCAGCAGCCAGTGGGCCTCTGCTGTGTCGGGGTTCTTAGGCTTCTTACCTCTGTGCGAGGTTACAGCAGTAATGCTAGGTTGAAATGATTGTACGAAAATGAAGTCTGTGCACTAACTGGTAGAGCTATCAGTTCAACAGAGAAATCAAAACTTAAGAACAGGAAAGGACCAAAAACTAATGGGAAACAGAAAGAATAACAAAACAATAGAGCTGCTCCCAACCACATCAGCAATGATATTAAACGTAAATGAAGATATTAGCTAAAAGGCAAATATTATGAAGCTTAATTAAAGAGATGATCCGGTTTCATGCTATTTATTTTAAATATTAAGACAGATTAAGTAAGTTAAAGGATGAAAAACACTAGAAAACTATTATTATTATTAAACAGATAAAACTTTAAAGGAAAGAGAATAACTAGAAATAGGAATACTTCGTAATTAAGAGAAGGGAGAAATAACCACAATTATGCATTTTTATGTCCAACATCTTGATTTCATGATCAAAAACAAAACGAGAGAATCATCTATGAGGTTTTAGTGCCTCTTTTAATTACCAGAGCGACAGAAAAAACACCATTGAGGACAAGGAGCAAACACTTCAAGAAAGAGGCCTCAATTTACGGAATTCTGTACACATATCACTTAAAAGTTTCAAATTACACCCGGTTTTTAACCTGCCTTTTTAAACCTGGGATTCTTTTGGTTCGCAGTTGTCATACCTTGCGTCAGAGATTCAACATTTGTGAAAGACAAAATAGTCAAGAGGATTTCTGTAGGCCAAGGGAAAACTGTGAAGTAGGTAAATTTCTGTCTATTTTGGAGAATTTTTTTGTGTCACGTAGTGTGAACCCCCCCAACCATTGCAAACAACAACAACAAAAAGTTTTATTTTACAATCAGACTTTTAACTATATAAGATAGGTACACATAGTGACATTCTTCTGTGGCCGTATTTTATGATTACCTGGTTATCATTTAATACACAGTTACATTTAATGATAAGAATGTGCATAGGAAAAAAATTCTAACCATGCACTTGACCTTGTGGCTATGTCTCCAGCCAAAAGGCCCATTTTAACGCTTTGCTCTACAAGTCCTAGAGGCTCTGCCCTTTTCTATCTGCCCTTGAAGTAAAGGTACATGCTCACCGTCTGCCGTGCTCAAGCACAGAGACCTGTCAGAACCTCAACTCGGCCCCTCCCCTCCCCTTAGCTCCATTTCTAGTCCCTTTGGCTTCCACCCATTTGCTTTGTATTTGTAGCTCCCACCTCTGCCTGTGCCCATCTGTAGGTTGCTGGCTCTCAGACTACCTGGATATTACATATCACAACCCTTCGTTAAATCTCAGCAATGCAGTAATATCCCAGGTCAGTTTCTGTGGAGCTGTGTGAGCATGTGCATGAGCACATGCACGCTCATCCATCACACCGCAAAATGGCGGGCAGAGCTGGGTATCACCAACAAAAGGTGCGTCTCATAGAAGAGGGAGATTAAGAACTAGAATTGAGCTAGCAATTCAGAGCACAGTTACGAGTGAGTCTCCAAGCATGCAGAGAACGTGTTCCACATAGACTGTGGTGTATGCTTATAGTCCTAGGACTCAGGGTCAGGATGACCAGGAGCTTGGGGTCAGTATGAAGTACAGAGCAAGATTCTACCTCAGACAGCAAGCCAGTAAGTGAGACAAACACACACACAAACACACACACACACAAAGGGGGGGAAGGGATGAGAGAGGAAATAAATTTGTAAAAGTTTTAACCTCATCATTACATCTTATAACTTCCACAATGACTGCAGAAATTGGAGTTCTTTTTTGCTTTCTTAAATATGATGGGAAAGGGACTTTTCTAGGTTTCATGAAACTGTTTGGAAGTGATCAGTGAGGTTTTCACACCCCACCAGAACCTCTCTCCTCTGTCTTTTCATGTCCATATGCAGGGCTATGTCTGAGAGCTCTTTTTTCTTTCCTCATAAGCATATATAGGCAATGCTGAGCATTTGTGAGCAGATTTCCTGGGGGTGGAGAGAGGCTGGGGTGGAGGGGGTGTCTAGAGCACACAGTTCAGCAGAAAGGAGATCAGGTTTCCCCCCTAGGAACTCCTGTGGAAAAATAGGTTTAGTTCCTTGTCACAATGGCATTTGTTGTTTGTGCTTTCCTTTCTGGCCTGCATAATTTCAAGAAAAGGTAAAAAGATTATGTGCCTTTTGTTTTCTAACTATTGCTGTTTTCTTAATAATTTAGATCATTATTAATTCAAGACATTTTTCAAAAGGCAAAAAGAAGGCTTTCTCTGCACTTGAGATGTAATAAATACAAGGAACATATAGTCAATTTTCTCCAGTGAAGTGTCACTGTGCATATTAACCACACTCCATGACATGCACAAGAGTAATTGCCCAACACAAAATGGACATTTGTGTGTGTGTGTGTGTGTGTGTGTGTGTGTGTGTGTGTGTGTGGAGTGTGAGTGTTAGGTGGGGGACGTATTTTCTCATTTTGGTATTTTATTTCTTATTGTTTTTTTGTGCTTTTTTTTTCCGGAAGGGGGAGAAAATATAGAGTTGGGAAGTAGGAAGGTTCTGGGAGGAGTTAAGGGAAGGAAAACATGATTAAAATACACTGTATGAGCTGGGGGTGGTAGCACAGGCCTTTAATCCCAGCATTCAGGAGGCAGAAGCAGGTGGATCTCCGAATTTGAGGCCAGTCTGGTCTACCAAGTTCTAGGACACATGTATAAAACAAAAACAAACAAAAATTCTGAATAAGATAAAAAATAAGAAATAGGAAGACTGGAAATGCTAAACAGAGAAAATACTGCCCTGGTTGCTTAAGTGATTAAAGCATGCTATATGCCTGTGCCTGTGCTTTTACAGTGAACTACAGACGGATGGATTTTACCCTCCTAACTTACAGCACATGAGTGTTTCTTCTTTTCTACATTAATACATCACGACACTCAGAAGTTAACTAAGCTTCCCAAGGCCTCATGGCTGTGAGAGATGGATTTGGGAGTCGAATGAGGCCTTTCAGGTGGGAATCCCTTTCCCTACCCGTGACCCCTCTGCAAATGTGATCCTGACCCTATTGACTATGGTAGAGAGGCAGGTTCTGACTCAGATCCGAGTGGGGTTTGTGACAGGCCAAGTGGACCAGCTGCCAGATGATTCTGATTTTTGAGCTATACTTTGAGTAACTGTTAGGAAAGGTATTTTGGATTTTTGAGGGATATAGGACTGACCTGAGGGAAGACACAAGTTGTTTTAGTTTGTTTGTTTGTTTGTTTTTTACATAGGAATTAAACCATGTAAAGTGTTAACAAACATATGCTACAGAAAAATAAATCCACAGAGTGTAGGTTTCAGTTCAAGAGCACGTAATACAAATGCCACAATTTCCCGAGATGTCTGGGCAAAGTATTAATTTTAAAAATTAAATAATATTCTAAGAAACTTGTTTAAAAAAAGCTCTGTACTTATGAGTATATTTAATTTTCCAGATTTTAATTGTAAGTCATTTCCTCTGATGAAACTAAGATTTCCTCACATTCTTTCATGTTATGACAAGATGAACACAGCCTTCTTGAAATATCCTTAACCACCTATGGGGAATTATTAACAAGTGGAGTTCAAAGTGGAGAAAAGCATTTTCCATTTTTCCTTGAATACATTTGAAAGGAGAACTTTAATATCTAAGAGCAGGCAGAGACTTAATACTCACACTATTGCAATTTTTTGAGTCCTTGAGATGCCCTTCCTCCCAGAAAAAGGGTCCTCAGTTCCCTCAGGTGTTGTAATCTCCTAGGTCAATGACATCCTTGGTTAAAATACAAATAATGTTTTCACAGCTTTCAGCTCATGGAGTGGTCTTTCCAACCAGGGCTGGAGCAGCAGCCCAAGAGCAACAGGAGAAGCATCCCAAAACGGAATCTGGCCAGGACACTCCATTAAGCCTAAATGCACTGGTCTCAGAATTTCCCCTAGGCTTGCCTGAGGATGCATCATGGCTGAACTCCCCTCTCAGGTCAGGTGTAGTATCATATGCAGAGGTTCACTATGAGCTGAGTTTGTCCACTGTTATCACTGAGATGTGCGGTGATTTTATTTTACTTCATTTTATTTTAAGCAAGAGAAAACACCTATTTGGTTGATGAATGCCTTTATTTCACTTCCTGCCGACTCAACGAACTCTTGATTAGACTTCCTGATCACCAACTTCATGTGGGAAAAAGTGTGTATGTAACCGGCTTGTTAAAAGTAGTTCATCTCAGAAGCTTGACTGAGGGTGTAAGGCACATTTCACTTTGTCTTTTTGCTTTGGACCTTCTTTAGACACTAATAACTTGCTAATTAGAGAGAGCAGGGAACGCAGTGGCAGTGGTTGGTAACTCACTTCTCCGCCTCAGAATGATAGCACCATGGAAACTCCCTTTCAGTGACCTAATGCCGGCAATTCTGACTGTCAGGTGTTGAGCTGGCTTTGCAAATCAGGCAAACAGTTTTGCTTGTAAGTGTATACTCAGAAGCCAAGCCCCTAAAGGATTTATGTGACTGGTCAGTCAACAACAGGAAAAACAAAACAGGGACAATGAAGGAATACTGATACAAGAAGGAAGGCAAAGGGGTCCCTTGCTTATGTCGTGTGCAGATATCATGGCTTTAAAACCAAGCCCACGATATTCATTATCACTGGAAACCTCCTGTGTCTTAAAATATGCCCTTATAACTTAAAATCTGATGATTTTGAATATGCACACTCGAGTTCAGAAGCAGAATGGCAGTACAGTTTGAAAACTGCCTTGAAAATAATAGTGAGGTGAAAACAAGACAGGTGAAAGTTAAAATTCATGAGGAAAGGATTTAGGATTTCAAAGCCAGATTTTCAGCACCAAGAAGATCAGATGCTGGGGTAGTCATGTGCACTTTGACATGCCCCACTAGCTTACCCGATTCTGAAGAACTACAAAACCAAGCCAGAATGATCTCAAACCGTCCAAGTTCAACTTCCTAATTTAAAGGAGGGCACACATGAAATAAAAATTGATGCTTAATGAACAGGTCACCTGCTCGCTTCAAGTGACACAGTAGGCTTATGCCATTTGTTCTTAATGTATTAAGTGTCAAACCTTCCTCATTTGACACTAAGAGACTTTGGCTGAACCCAGCTTGATATTCTTTGTGTTAGTACAAAATTAATACAGCATACTACTGGCAAAAATAGACAGATAAAAATTAACTTTTTGTTCTTTGACTAAACAGTTTGAGCTTGACCTTATGAAAACAAAGCACATTAACTTAACATTAATAAATATTACTAACTTCTTGATATTTAGATAACAATGTTTTTAAGGCTATATTTTTAAGGTTCTAAGTTTAAAAAGTCATTTTAAACATTGTGACTATATGCATGTGCCTGAAGGTGCTCACACTGATCAGGGGTGTTGGATCTGCTCGTGGCGAAGGTACAGATATTTGTGAGCATGTGCCCTGGGTGCTGGGGACCGAGCTCAGCTTCTTGGTGAGGAAGCACGTGATCCTAAGGTTCTCACTTTAACTATGCTTAGATATACAGTGACCAAGTTGCCTACAAATCTGATATCCAGTCAGTGAGACTCAGGAGTGGAGGGACTTGCCACCTTCTAGGATCGTAAGAGCACAGGAGATTTGAGGCCAGCAATCGTCTTTAAATGCCAGCAGGTGTCTCTTTATTGGTTACATATAAGTATTTTGTATCTAATTTAATACAGTTAGTAATCAATAGAACCCTGTGATTATTCATAGTTCTGCAGAATTTAATGTTGAAATAGATACAACATACCTAATTTATTTTTTAATGTTTCCTGGTACAGTTTTGACCTTCCACAAACATTTGTTTTATTGTATTGGAGTTTAAAATACCTGATGAGAAGAAAGAGTACAGCTCATGGTATTAAAAGAATGACCCATCTCACTCTCTGCATCATAAATCGGAGTAGCAGCGGGGTGAGTATGAAAAGATATAAAAATATGTAATATCAGATAATGTTAAAAATCTCAGTGGGGAACTTTAATTCTTCTCCTGTGACTGTCTGAACTATAACTAGTTAATTATGTAATAAAATAATCCGGTTGGAATTTCATTTGCTGTTAATTCCCATGTTCACTTTTTAATGAGGTTGCCTATAAACAGCACAGAAAGCCAAAACAAAGGGTGGAGTTCACAGTTTATAGAGCCCACGTTTCTACCTCACATTCCCAAATGCCAAGCCTTTCTTCTCACTGCGAAGATCATACCCCTGAAGTAAATCTATGTTCTCATCTTTATTCTTCAAAGCCAAAGCAAAGCAAAGCAAAGCAAACCAAACCAAACCAAACCACACCAACAAAATGGGGTCTCCAACACAAAGCAGGCACTCTACTGACTTAGTTTGCTTTCTGCAGCTGTGTTTAACTCCACTACCGAAAGCTACTTGGGAAGCATAGGGTCTATTTGGTTTAGAGGTTAGAGCTCATCACTGAGGAGAGGCAAAGGCAGGAGCTCAAGGAGCCTCTATATGGCTTCAGAAAGGATACATTGCCACTGTACTTTGTATTCTTTGTAAGTATAAGAGACACCTTCTAGCTCTAAAGCTACCCAGGTGCTGTATCTCGGGGCTTGACCACAATAGTTGCTCATCTTAACATAGTCTTTTTTTTTTTTTTAACTTTCAGTTATCTGTGCTGATCATTTTAGTCAGTGATTCGCTATTTCTTTCATAACTTTAACTAATGCTGATCTTCTCCATCCACGGTCAATGTAGTCTAGAGTGTCCTAACCATAATGTCATAGGGGAGTCTGGATCTAAGAGCTGGGAAATGTTTTCTGTCTTAGGTTCTTTAGTTTTCTGGACATAAGCTCCAGTGAGTTTTTTCAGATGGTGAAGCTCGTGGTTGAATCTGGTCAACAACAATACCAAAAACAAACAAACAAACAAGCACCACAGACTATTTATTTAGAAAGAGAGAATTAAAAAAAAATCAGATTATACAAGTTTTAAAGGTGGGATTCAATCAACTTAGACAGGATACCTAAATATGAGATGGGATTTTTACCCCTCACATTTTAGACCTTTACGAGGCCTATGATGCTGCTTAATAGTTAATCGATGAGTGGCTGCAGCACTGCATACAGGAGTGCCTCATGGAGGCGATTATTATGGAAACGACTATCTTGGTGAAATGATTTCTCTGCTGCAGAGGAAATATGGATTGACATAAAACTCCTTCCAGAAATCGTTGCCTTGGTATGTTCCTGTTTTCAGCTCTAGACTCAGAGATAAGACAACTCTGAGACCCAAGCCTACATGTATCATGCCTTAAGGCTACCAATAATTGGGTCAAATCAAGCCTTATATTCTGTGTTCAGTAGAAATAGTACAAGAGCAGAACTGTGGCCTGGATTATCTTCTTTGAGTGTATCACAGCAGTTAAGACAGGATAATCCGGAAAATACAATGCAGTGGTTGTGTAGAGGAGGAAACAGAACCCCACGACTCATAGCTGCTGGCTCCACAGGATGTGACATCTAGGGTCTGACACCTGCTTCTAGCTTTCAGAAACGAACCGGGGGCAGCCCAAACTTCCCAGTGGCTGCAGAGGCTTTGCAGGGAGGAGGCTGGCTGATGGGGCAGCTGCTCCCAGCTCCTCCCTTTTCCTAAGGGGAGGAGCATTTCTCTACTTTCTTGTGGAAAAGGTTGTTCCCTGCGTGCCCTGTCATACCCTCTACTCTCACATAAAAGGAAGCACTGGAATCTAGACAGGACAATGAACCAGTTGTTCCCCCACAGCCTTAAGATGGGGCAGAAGCAGACACAAGCTTGAAATACTGGAAGTTTAGATACATTTGGGAGAGGAATGAAACATATTTATCCGATCTTTTAGAAGGAGGAAGAAAGAAAGATAAACAAGGGCAGAAAAATAGTAATTAAAGCACAAAGAATTGGTGGATAATTGGTTGAAAACCCACCCTGGATCTGTCCTATGGAAATATTTCAACCTTTGCTCTGGCACTCTGCTTCCTCCATCATGTTGGATAATGTGTTTGCCCTGACTTCACTTCAGTCTCCTGCTCTATAAATGGGGTAATTAAAACACTTAGCACTTAGGGGCTGTTGTGCAGATTAAAACAAGAATGTGCTCAGAAGGCTTAGCACAGATTCCAGTTTATAAGAAATGTTCAATAATGCCAGCTTGTATTATTACGGTCTTGATTTCATAGTCACACTTTAGGGAGAGTCGGTCCCCTTGAAATATCATAGGTACTCGGTCCCTGTTTCAAGCTGTTAAGCTTCCCTCACTCCCCTGAAGAGTGTTCTCTCCTCCCGGAGCACCCCAGAACCTGCAGCCGTGCCTACCTCGCGATGGAGCGTAGCTCTCTGCCAGTTTCCTCAAGACTTCCTTTCAGCCACCTCCAGCTGAGCCTGCCCTGGTACACTCTGTGCTACTTTCAAAACTCCACAAGCCAAGTGAACAAAAAGCGGGAACAAGTGGGCTAGCAAGCTGAGCACTGCAGGCAGAAGCTACTGGAGCCCACGTGCCCCGCAGGCACTCGCTCTAAACACTGCCTCGTTCGGGAGCTCTGCCCCAGGTCAGAGAGAACCCCAAGATTTGTTTCTACTTCAGCCATAAAGCACCCAGCACAGGGAACCATCCTTGGGTATGATGGAAAAAGCCTGGAGCCTAGAAAAAAAAATATCCCCACGCTAAAGGCAAAATAAACAGATCTGTTTGTTTTGTGTCGCTCTGATATCAAGACTATGAAGTTCTCCCTTTCCTAAACTCGCCCAGTTGGTAAATCCTACGGAAAGAAGCACACATATTTTCCTCAAGAGGTTTGCAGGTTCTCCTAACAGAGGATGGGGGCTAGTGGTAAACAGCAGAAAAATGCCATTTTAAACAAGGCCCTTCCACGGGGAGGTCTCAGGGGATTTCTTCAGGGAAAGTTCTTTTGGGGAGCTCATTCATCTTTCTCATCCCGGATTTTGTTTTGTTTTGCTTTGTTTTTAATGGATTACAGAACAGGTAAAGCAGCTGGCTCCAAATCTTGTTTGTGTTTCTACAAAGGGTCAGGCTGGTCAAGCATCTGCCATTGCTTAATCAGCCCACCGAGGGCTGGAGATGAAGACCCCGCTTTAGAAACGTGTCCCCTTATATCCATTCCTGTCAGAAAGACAATGGTAACCCAATTAAACAATTCCCGAGGAGGCCAAGAGCAATGAAGTGAAAACCGATGAGGTGAAAGCCACTTGGATCGTTCCTGGCGGAGAGTGCCAACTCTGTCACGGAGAACCCTGAAGAGGGGAGATTTTAATGAGGAGAAAGTCCTTGCAACGGACCTTCACCCTCAGCCGGCTACTGTACCTGCAGCCGAAGTTTGGCAAAGGGTCTAAGAGAGCCACGGAATTTGACATGCTTGCTTCTCTTTATTATGCGGGAGCTCAAATGAGGCTCACCCGCGTGAAGCTAAGATTGAGTAAATTAAAACATCCAAACGAAATCAAGGAGGAAATCTGGAGACGTTCGTTACTGTCTAGCCTGCTTTCGGGGCGTTGGTTCATCGTTAGATCCCGTGATTTGACTTTCCCCTCCCCGGCCCCATCTGGTAACACAGGTTGCTCTTTGAACTCGCCCTGCTGTACTCTGCTATCTACAGCCCCCAGTGTACAGACAGTGCTTCTGCAGGCCTACTATGTACCCGTGACATACCGCACCCCCCTTCCCCCTGCCAAGTCCCCCAAGCAGGCCTATTTTCAGAAGGGACCAGATGTCTTTTCAGCCCGGAATCAAACGTTGTCTTTGGAGACATCGATGGGAGTCTGGTGGCGGTGAGGCTGTCCCACAGCAAGGGGACGAATCCGGAGCTCATTAAGGCCGCTGTAATTTTGGTTTGGCTCAGTATTTCTCTGGAGGGCTGGCACACACAAAAGGTACAGTGGAGTCACAATGCTACAGGACAGGAATCCTTGGGAAAGACACGAGACTAGATACAAAGATGAATGCCCCCTCCCCCAAAACAGGAATCACAAATGTAGCTCCTGATGTCCACTGGACAAGTGGGAATGCCCACTCTGGGGGTGTAGGGCAGCCTAGGGAACACCTGGACATCTTCTGAATTTGTTTCTTTTCCACCTCTGTGTGACACAGGCAGGCTGCAGATCAGCAGGGGCTCCTGTGAGCATATAGCACATTCCTTCCCCTACGAAACACCTTCCCCACTTCAACTTGCTGCAAACTGACCCATAAAAGCAGTTTGGGAATCGGGGCAAGAAATCACGCAAAAGATTCAGGTCCTCTGCAACATTTTCTTCTCACCAGGCACAAGCTGAGTGTGGTGGTGCAAAGCCAGCCAGTGGCTGTTTATCGGAAAACACTGTGTTTGAAAATAAAATTTCCTTCCGCTTACATGCAATGAACTTGCCCTAGTATTTCGTTCACCTTTTCATCAGGCTTCTGTGTCCAGGTCTTGACAGCCGATGGGAGCCGTGAGTATATGAAGAGACACCAGCCCAAGGATGGGTATGCTGGAGCCAATCGCATCACTCAGCTCTACTGTACTGGACAAAATCACTGGGAGTGCTAACCATCCGCTTTGAAAAGGTAATAATATGATGTGCCCATGCAATGTTCTCTTTGCATTTGTTTTGCAAACCAAATGACATAGCTTGGTTTGCAGCATTTACTGTGAATTTAAAGAGTACAGCTGGGAAGATTTATAGTTTGATAACTAGATAAAACAAACAAACGAACAAACATTCTCTAAACAAAAACTTCACAGATGGTGTCTACTCTTTCCTTGTCCCAGACCAGGTCGGAAAAAAAAAAGAATTTTCCCCACAATTCTTCTAAAAGATTCAGAATATCAAATGAAGTGTCACAAATGACTCAGAAGCAATATCAGTTTCTGTTTATGACACGGGTGATGCTGCTCTGTCCCTTTCATCCTTGATGCTCTGAGGCCCAGGTAAACTGTCAGCTGGTGACTCCAGACAGATCTTTACCAAGCACTTTTTCATACTCTGACCCAGGTAGCATATTATTTATTCCAGCAGATGGCATAGAACTTGTCTTTTAAAAACACAAAGGCACCACACACACTCAAGCAAATGCATGTTATAACTAAAAGGAAGCTATGGTCTCTGCCATCTGCATTCTAGCAGACGACTCAAGCATCCTTTCCTGAAAAGGCTGTTCACAAAAGAGTAAATTCACGCTGTGCATGTGAAGACACAAAATCAAAAGCTCACTGAACTTCCTGGGGATGGGACTTCTTACAACCATGCAAAATTCACTTTCTTGGCAACTGGTTTTGCTTTTTCATACTTCATATCGTATCCCTAAATTGTCCTGCACTGCATTCATCTAGTGTAGGTTTTTTGATTCGGTCACTTATGTTAGGATATTAACTACCAGCCACAGGCAGGAGCGACTCACTAGCTTTGTGTGCGAAGGTTTCTTTATGGGGACACCATTCTCAGAATTAGAGCCAAAGTCATGAAAACTGATGCTGTCTTTTACCCAGCTCTATATTCCCTCTAAACCAAGTTTGGGCTCCAATTCTCTTCAAGGAATGACAGCCAAGGAGCAGATGGTACTGTTTCCTTTCTTGTTGCACCTGTACTTCTGCTTTGCAAAGCAAGGAAATGGATTTCCTTCAGAAAACATGAATTCCTAGAGCTCACAGTTAGTCCCATCATTCATGGGTAACACAGTGCATTAAGAGCAGGAAATGGGAAAACAGTATCATTAGCGAGGTGTTTAGGCTGTTCTATTTTGCTTGTCTCTAAAATTAATCTCTTCCTGTTCACCACTCAGGGATAAAAGCATCTTCCTCTGAAGAGGAATTAACTGGAAACCGCATGGAGAAATGCACGTCTTCTAAAGCAGTCACCTTGACCGATGCATTGCCGGTGAACCTGAAGAGCAGCTGCAGGCAGAACCTGTACCTTTCTGGTTACCCGATTCATGTCAAAAATGATTTCAAGTCTTCCGTCTTACATGCTTACATACCACTGCAAGCAGTATGACCATCAGTGCTGGGTTAACAAAGAAAATCAATCCAGAGCAGAAAAAACAAACAAACAAACAAACCAAACCAGACCAAAACCTGTGTTCTTGAAATTTTCATTTTCTGACTGTGTGGGCCCTGATGCCTTTAGGAGCTGAAGCTTGCATGTAAACTGAGTTGTTATCTAAGATTCATGTATGGAACATTCTGAGTCCTTAGTTCTGGGGATAGAAGAAGGTTTCCATGACTTGTTAAGTAGAACAACATAGTGGGTTCAGAGATAAGCAACTGGGCAATGATAAATTTTGTATGTAGTAGACATAAGAGAGATTATGGAGTCTCATGTTTGCAGAATATTTAGAGAGCAGCGGATTGTAACTAGAAGGTTTGGAAGGCTTTAGAGGGGAGCACCTGAGGAGCAATTGACCACAGTGAAGTTAGAGAGGGTCCCACTATGTAAAACATCACCAGACATAGAAGGTGCTCAGCATATACTTGAAGTAGGCTATCGTAAAATGACTTAAGGACTAAATATTTATGAAGTGTAGTTCCCAAATTCTACTTATTTTTATAACTGTGTCTTTCTCCTTCCAGAATTACTTAAGGTTCCTCCAATTCACTACGACCAAGATAAACTCAGCTTACTTTCCTTCAAGGATTCTTCTGAAGACTTTCTCTTACTGTGACATTTCCGCTTGCCACTGTCATACTCTCTGGCCTTGCTCCATCCGGTGATGGGAACCACCAACCACATGAGGCTACTGAATGCTTGAAGTGTAGCTAGTGATATAAGTTAGGAAGAGAGTACGGTTTATTACCATTAGTAGCTCAACCTTTTTATTTCCAAGCTGTATTCTGAGTTCTCAACTCTTGATCATACATATAGATCAGACCAACCAGGAAAAAAAACATCTTGGGCAGGAGAGTTGCACAATAGGAGGTAAATAAAATATGAAACATTTTCAAATTTCAGAGACAGAATCTCCCAGTGCCATTGAAGGTTGGCCACTGTGGTTCACTGTGCCTCTGTGGGGTTTCCATAAGATTTATACACCATGTGGGCATTGGCTATCGAAGCTGTTTGTAACTACAGGCACATCCACCCATTTTCCCCTAGTGAACGCTTTGTCAAAGCTGCTTAACCCAGTCACAGAATTCAGCTTCCTTCCTTCCTCTCATGGAGAACCACAACCTCAACAAAACCTAACCCAACCCAACCCAACTAAACCCCAAACCAAAGTACCATGACCGTAATCACCCAAACCACACAAGATGACTTTGAAAGGAATAAAATACTGACATCTCAGGAGATGGAAGGGTGAGCATGTTAGATATATTAACAGATCATGTTTGACATGCTTTGGTAAACCTGATGGCCTCTCAAATTTACTTTCAGAATGGGAGCGTTCTCATCCTTTCCTCCTCCCCCTTCTCCTTCCCTTTTTCCTGCTCTTCCTTCCCACCTCCCAGTAGCAAGCCCCCCTTCCTCACTTGCTCCCAGTAGCAACCCCCAACTTTTCACCTTCTTCATCACTGACTAGTCCCTAGCTTACTTCATATTTCTGTTGGCCATAATCCTCAGCCAAAGGGAAGGGATCCCTCTTTGGAGGGTGAGATTGATATTTCCTTAAATAACTTCCTTCTCCAATCTTGGCTTCTTCTCTAATTCTTGTCTAGCTCCTAACCGGCAAATGCCAATCTAGTTCTAAGGAGCAGGTCTGTAGTTTGCCTTTTCTACCCAAATACTCTCTTCACTACATTTCTTACATTTCTCTCATTTGAGGATACTTATTTGAGGATAGACTATGGGGCTCATACCGATAACTATCATGGGAAAATTGATTAAGTTGACTTATACACTTGTACACATAGAATGAACCCAACATTCACTTTTTTGTTTCATTTTATACAAACCTAATAGTTCCTTTAAATCACATACCAGCCGTCACATCTCTTGCCGTTTGTTACGCCTTATAAGTGGATTTTGGATTTCCAGGGAAACAGCTAGCTCGTTGTGGCTGCAGTCATCCAGTGATTTGCTAATAATTTAGAGTTTGGCAAGTACGACGCAGTGTAGCTTGTCATATTTATTTGCTCTCTTGGCTGTGATTTTAATTCCCCAAATCACTTGCTCAGACAACACATTACTAATATACTTTGTCCTGTTTATCAATGTTTGTTTAGATTTAATCCAGGGGAAAAATTTCAAATGGGGCTACTTAACATAATTGAGCATTGAGAGTATTTGTTTTGGTACTCATGGTTTTGGAACACACACATTAAACAGACAGAGCAGCCGTGGATGAGAAGCTGTTGTTCCCAACTATGGTGGATTACAGAGGGTCCTTTCTTTTTCTTTTTTCTTTTTTGAGAAAGCGTTTCTCTTTGTAGCACTCGCTGTCCTAGAACTTGCTCTGTAGACCAGATTGGTCTCGAATTCACAGAGCGCGTACCACCATGGCTGGCCAAGGGTACTTTCTTGATTAAGGGACAACTAAGCTAGTTAAATTTTCTTTCACTTTTTTTTTTTAAATTCGTAAGTATCTTTTAACTAACCAAATGGATCTCGGTGGCCTGTTGGAAGCTTGGCATTGAAGGACAATTTGGAGACCGTGCCCTAGTTCCAGTCACTGTTAGGTGGGTGGAGTCTTCTACTGCCCTCTTGATGACCCTGTTTTTCTCTTCAGACTCTGAAAACTTCCAAGAAGAGCCATAATAACAAAAATGAATTTTATAGATTGACTACTTGAAGTCTAAAATGTGTGTTTGTGAAGAACATTTTAGAATGCTTCAAATCCTATGACCTCTTGACCATAGATGAAGGTCAGAAGGTAGTGATGGTTTGTTTGACTATAACAGGTTTTGAGGCTGAACAGCCAATAAGGAACCAAAACTAAGGAAATAAGTTACAAGAGCTAAAGTCCCCACCTTCATTAGACATTTTTTTGTGGTCAGAAGTAAGATACAGAATTTGGGGAGATGAATGAACTCACTATAGAGATGCAATAAGTCACTTTCATGTAAGATATGCCATTAGAGGAAGTGGCCCTGTCTTGATGCTGCACAAAGGACTCCATAGCTTCAGCTCAGTGCTCCTCAACCTCCCGAATACTGTGACCCTTCAATGCAGTTACTCATGTTGTGGTGACCTCTCAACCATAAAATTATTTTGTAGCTACTTCAAAACTGTAGCTTTGCTACTGTTATTGATTTGTAGTGTAAAAATAGATGAAATCCAGGCTATCTGATAGGTGACCCCTGTGAAAGAGTCATTTGACCCCAAGTTATGACCCACAGGTTGAGAACAGCTGCTCAGACTTTCTTTCCAGGTTAGGAACTCACTGTCTTCCTTAATTCCTACTTATAAAGACTGCACGGCCAGAGCCTAATCCTTTCAGTGTATGACAATATCCCTGGACACTAAAAGAGTTATCTTCAAGAAAAATTCCATAAATATTTTTGAAATAAATGAATTCCAGTGAATACCAAGCCACTCGTTCACTTTACATTCATTTGCATAGAATCTCATGAGGATATCTTCAAGATCCAATGACTTTTCCCTCACCTATGTGTTGGACAATATATTCAGTCGAAAATTATTGGTGATATCGGCATTGGGGGAACTGCAGAGTTATACTCAAGTCCTGTAGTTCCATTGCAAGAACATGACCTTTCACTCCTGTCGCTCTGCTCTTTCCATAGGAAGTGAGGCATGGAGAAGGGGTAGTGGCGATGGGAGAGGATTCTTTGGTTCTTTTCTTTTCCTGTCCTCCAGACAAATGGAGATGTTGCGTACCTGTGTCTCACTAAAGCAGGAACTTCTGAATGTCTCTATAAAGGCATTTTATGGAATTAAAAAGTAGCCTACTTACTTTAGCCTTTGGCTTGCACAGGGCTTCTCAAACTTCAACTCTGTTCCAGGATTGAGTTACAGTCAGAACAATTAGAAGCATTAGTAAACTAGGGTAACGTGTCAGCATTAATTTTCAAATTTAGTGAGCATTAGCAACTTATTTGGTTGGCTCTTCATACAGGGCCTTCAATCATAAGTGGGAGATGGTGTTAATAAAACAGAGAGCCATTGGGAAAGAGTTAAGCAAAGATTTCCAATTCTGTATTCACTCTTGGTCTATCAGTAGATCACTTAAAACTCAGCCATGGACTTTAGGGAAATTTTTGAGAATAGTTGCTCTACAGAAAAATAAAATCAAATCAAAAAGCAGAATCCAAACTCACATCCAGAAATCATTTCCTATTGCAGTGGACAACAGGAGGACACTTCTCAATTGTATGTCTCGCTACTGATCAATGCTTCATTGGCCCAAGGATTTCTACCCATTAAAATATTAACTAGTATTGTTGTATTACACACCTAGCTGCTGCTTCCAATAAATGCTGAACTAGAAATACAAACTGCTCTATAATTCTGGAGTAGTTCACTTTGTGTGAGGTGCCTTCACTGCAGACATTTTACTATCGTCTGTGCCCACCACCCCTGCCTGCTCCATGGGCTCTGCATCCAGGGTACAAGTAACCAATGATCACAGTCTAAATGAACTTCACTAATATGAACAGATGTTTTGTTGTCATTATTTCTTAAACAGTTATTTACTTTGTAAATAAACTATTTACATTGTACTAGGTATTACAAATGTATAAGTGAATTTTAAAAGGGGGTGTGTTTAGAGTAAATGCAAAAAACTATACCATTTTATATGAAAGTCTTGAATATCTGCAGATTTTTTTTTATATCAACAAGGGTTCCCGGAACCAACCCTCTTCCTTATAGATACTGAAGAACAACAGAATCTGTGAGTGTGTGTGTGTTAAAATCAATAGTATATGTAATACATTGCATGTGTCTGGATGCCTAGTTTAAAAAGGAGCTGTATTTTCCACCCTAGTATTAGGTTCCCTTTCCGCTACTCTCTGCACTCCATCCTGTCCAACCTTCCTTATCCAGCCTCACTTTCATGACCTATCAATGACTTAAGCTGCTCTCATGGATATTCCTTTACTTTGCAGAGCCAATCAAACTAACTAGGTGGCAAGACCATGAACCAACCAACAGGACTGGTTTTAAGACTTATCCCTAGGCCTGTGATACGGCTGCATCTATTATCCACTATAAGAACGTGGAATCCCACCTCTCCTTGGCTCCCAAACATTCTCTAAAGCTGCTATCCTAGACTGGGTTCCCTTGATAGACCTACATGGGACATTCTTGCCCAAGGATTTATGGACAGAATGTTCATGGGAAAGAGGAGTTGGGAAAGCAGGACTAGGCAAATTTTCCCTTCTTTGGGAAAATTCTCAGGGGAAGCTCAAGTGTAGGGCTTCTGAAGCCAATTACAGTTATGCATGACTGATGTGATCGACCTGCAGTGAGTGTGTACAGACAGGATGAGGGCAGGGATAGTAACTGTCGTGATGAAGTACTTCTCCATCCTCAGAAGTTTGCAGGCCTGAGCTACTAGAGTTAGTTCTACAGCTTCTGTGTCTCTCTAGGAAGCTTCTGGCTTCAAACCTCCTCCCTTTTCTTGTCTGAAATCATTATTTCCCCCAGTCACTCTCTCACAGAAAGCCTCACCTCTAGTGTTATTAAATATATCCCCGTAAATGTGTTTTTTTTCTATAAGGGAAATGCTCAACTTATATTTGCACAGACATGAGTTGGAGGTGTTCTAAGTAATCAACAGATCCTGGATGACCATGTAAAAGTGAGATCTGAGATGAACATAGGGACTGAAGGAGCAACTTTACCCATCTTTGATGAACAG